GCCAGGCATGATTTAGGATCAAAATCTTGCAAGACAGACTCTCAAACAAGCAAGGTAATTTTGTCACTCAAAAATGTGTATGTTTCTGGATTGCTCCCATCCCTAAAGTAATACAGAGCACATTCAGACACTGAGTTGGAAATATATTATTATTGTGAATAAAAGATCATTTTCACCTGTGATTTTCCCTTTCATTGATTTCAGTTTCTTGTTAAAACTGATTTTTAAAAAAAGTTACCTGACCACTGAAACAAACAAATCGGTAAGACTGCAATTTTCTATTAATCTTACAAGTTTGTTGAGACAAACATTCTATACATATTTTAAAACAGGGTAGCATTCTACATTTATTCAAATGAGTTGGTAAATTGACCGTAGCACAGGACAAGGTTTTCATTTTAAGGGAGTCTCTACATGTAAGGAGTTTACCCTCCAGTCCCAGGAGCATGTGTGAGGCTCAGGTGACTGGACCTGCTGTCAAGCATACAGGAACTTTAATTTAATCAGGCATAAGACTCAAAAGAACAGGGGTCTTTGCAGTTGCTGCTCAACACTTGTCTTAATTACAGGTGAATGACCTAACAAGTGCAAGCCTACAGGAAACAAGAACAGAGAACAGCTGGGAGAGGTTGGGAGAGACAAGAGAATGAATGCATAGTTCTGAATTTTAATAAGCCAGAATTTCAGCATGAGTATTAATGAAGAAATTTTCTGAGTACAACTGGGGATACTAAGTGTATAAGGCAGTAACAGAGTCCAAAACAGACTGGTTTTGTCCTGTTACCAGCCAAATTCACATTAGCACACAGTACACCAAACATTCATTTGTATCGGGGCTGAAAAATGTTTCTTTCTGTGCTCAGATAAGATAGGTAAAAACATTTTACGTTGTATGTAAATGCAAGTTAAAGGGTACACTAAAATGTAACCTTTAAACTTCCCAATGTAACAACATACCACTTCCTGTTCAGAGATAGCACTCCAAGATCAATTAATCATGGCTAAGACGAACAAACGGTCAACATTCTTAATTAGTGTTGATGCATTCTCCTCTGTGCCCTCATCTGTCATGAAGACTGTTTAAAAATCTGAGTTATTAGTCTTTATTGAGGAGTGGATCTGGTTAATATCTCTAAGAATAGAAATCATTCATCCATCCACTATACACTGGTACCTGATAATTCCTACCCCCTATATAAGCTACAGATAACCACCGCCCTAAGACCATCTTGGTAGCTATAAATCAAAATGAGTGCAGCTCCCATGCAGCCTTGGTTAATTTTCTGTTTACAATATATCCACTGAAAATGTTGGTACGACACTTGAGGAGTCTGCCTATAGATTAGTGCAGAGGAAAATATGTAAAGTAGTCAAGGTAGAAAGAAAAGCAGCACATCAGTCATACAAAACACAGTAAAATCTCTCTAATTCACTCTAACAACTAAAAGATCCACCGCGATTACTGAACTTTGTCAATACCAAATTTAAGTAAAGATTTTAAGTGCACAAAACATAATTCATTCACTTGATAACTATAGTTCTATTTATCCTATACAATAAGTCAAAGTATTTTACAGCAACGTATCTGTAAAAGTTTTAGGTTACTGCATTGAAACTCAAAAGCATTTGTTAATCTTAAGAATAAGGTTTACTCCCTTATTTCTGGTGGAAATTAAGTGGTATTAGAAATAAGAAATAAGCACATTTCAAATATACTTTTATTTAATAAGATTAAAATACCATTAAGTAGTTACAAGGAAAGTTAAATTTAAGATTCAATGCAAACTGTAAATTGTAGGATTATTAAGATCTTATGACTTACAATTAACATGAAAAAGAAAAACTGTACATTAATTTTTACAATTCCTTTTATTGTTTACTAAACATAGACAAAAATCTATTGAAAGACAGAGAATTAACAGATAATCAGACATAAGTGCAGGAAGCAGGTCTGGGCAAGGTCTTCACTCAAATCAGTTTTCTACTCTCTCTAACCGAATGTGCAGGTCAGGTTATGGGAAACTCCGATTGGAGTTTTGTATGCAGAAATTACCTTTCCAATGTTTCATGAGTAAATCAATCTCTTACAATCACAATAGGACATTTTAATAAATTGCCACCACTCTAAAGTTAATTATCATGTTTTAAACAGACATGCAGTAGTTACTGTGTTCATGCTTCTAATCTATTGCAACGTACGATAGAATAGTCAAAACTAGCATCAATTCATTTAAATCAGCACTGAACAATTTCTTCAAGTTTGGTGGAATACTGAAGAAATTCCTGCAAACTTAAGACATTTAACAGAATGACTACAAATTGATACAGAAAACCACTAACAAATCATGCAGTTTCATAAAGAATTTAACAGCTAGTACAATTATGTACCATATACTGCTATACCTGAAGTAATTTGCTTTCAACGACAAAATTATCCAAAGAAATTATTTTCATCTAATAGGATTCGTGTGTACAGTTTTCTATATTTCATTGTGAAGAAAAGTATTTTTCACTGTTTCCTTCCAAGTGTTGTTTTATTTTAACTATAGCTTTATTCCTATCTGAAGCACTACAGCAGAGATCCCAGGTGTATTTACCCCAAAACAGAAAAATACGCATTTCTTTCAGACAATATTAGTAAGTGAAAACAGTCAAATAAGAGCCTAAGCCCAAGCTAAGTACACTTAAGAGAGCAGCACTAAATTTAGGCAAATGGTTTCAGCTACGCTTCCAAATTCTTATCTAAATACTGGCCCAATGCTTTCCAATTGCTATGAATTAATATTACTGCATTCTTGGCTATTTTCAAAAACTTTCATCAGAAAGAAAGTTAAGTGTTAGAATAACTTCCTTGTGGATATAGACATTTCTAGTTTTTAAGTAAGCATACCTGGATATTTTCCTAAAAGACATGTATAGCTCAAAAAGCAAGTACAGTCCTGAGACAGAAACTAATGACTGAAAGTATTTCTCCTGTATGATGCATGAAGTCAAATACGTTCATCAATTCATCAAATGGCTTTTCTTGGCTTTAAACCTATTATTGCTCTTGCATTGTGTACGAGTGTCTTATCACCGAGTAAAGTTGAGCTCTTTATATTGAGCTATTATTTTTTATCATACTGAAATAAAAATAAAGCAAAAAAAGTGACCTCTGTAAGCAGCATCCCCTGCATGCTCGACACATGCAACAACAACAAACATGCTTAGGATCGCATGAAAGCAATAGTTTGCTTTTTTCTTTATACACAGCTTCTGAAGAAAAACAACGTAGGAAGCACACTGCTCCTTCACCTGCTATTTTCATAAAATGAAAGCCCTTTCATTAGTCAGTGTCAGCCTTTATCTGGAAACTCACCTACAAAATCTCATAGTCTCCCCTGGAGGCGTGGGTCAAAGACAGGTTGGATGGGGATTTGAGCAACCTGGTCTTGTGGGAGGTGTCCCTGCCCATGGCAGGGGGGTTGGAACAAGATGATCTTTAAGGTCCCTTCCAACCCAAACCATTCTATGAAACCATATTCTATTTGCAGATGCTCTCAAGGAAATACTTGGATTTTAAAGAATTGCAGGCATGTATATGAGAAAGATGTATATACTTAAGGTATATAACAGAGATAAAACTCCTTCAAATGGAAACCAGTGTCTGATTTTCTACCTCTATGGTGTCATTCCAGCAAAAGAACATTATTTATCCTATGTTACAATGTATCTTACTGGAAATACTCCATAAGATTTGCAGAACTCCAGCCAGGAAGTCCAATTTTGGGGCAAAATATAAATCAGTGAAAAATATTTTTCATTTGAATTTCAACAGAATCTGTATTACTGACTCTAGTCTCCTAGAGTACAACACTGTCTATGTTATACTTTCAGAAGTGCTATTTATATATTGTAACTCTAAGAGCTTCTGTTTTCTTCCCAGAAAGTAAGTACTCTTTCATCATCATTAATATCATAAAATGTTACAGTATCACAGTAGCAACACTACAGTTAAAGGTTCTGAATCAAAGTGTTGTCTCTATGTTGTTTTCAAATGCTTTTAAACAATACTACCTTGCTAGATGAGGTCTTTTTTCAGTTTTGCTCATGATATGGACACTCTGACATGGACACAAATTACTTGGAAAGTAAAAAAAAAAAAAAAAAAAAATCTATTTCTTGTTGTTCAAAAAACCCCATATTTAGATTGTTCAAAAATTCTGTATCTGTTTCCAACACTTTGTTTTGAAAATTGCTTTATGTTTCTTTTATCATCTTCAACTGAAAAAAGGTAAGAGAGCCAGGACCAAGACCTCAGATAAGCTAATAAGGATGTTTCTGTAAGATTTCTTAGCTGGAAATGGGGGAATTAGGAAATTAACTATGTGATGGTTATTTAAAGTGGCATATTTTGGTGGTCAGAACAAAACCATTATATCATACGTGATCAAAAAGACGACAGGTAAAAAAAAATCCCAGAACAACAGTAAATAAGTAACCTCGTGTGCTAAACTACAGATAGCATGCAAAAAAAAGCCTAATAAGCAACGCAATATAAATATTATGCCTAGTGCACAGTGTGGTTACTTTAAATAATATACACCAGTAGTTAATTTAGCTGTCTCTTGACATACAGAACCATGAAATATACCTGTTATTAGGTCCAGGAATGTTTCCCAGTTCTCCATTCTAGATGTATGCCATGGCTATATCCTGAAGCCCGATCAAATTCAAACATGGGTGAGAGAGATCTCTCTACTCCTGTGTGCTGCTCTCCAAGTAAAGAAAACACAGGCAGAGAGGCTGCAGGTAAAGCAAAGCATGATGCAGCAAGTCCCTCAACCTAACTGCCCAGAACCAGAATCCTGAAGTACACCCAAATATGTCATCTATACACAGCAACAACACACAAGACAGTGTGTAGTTCATTTTAATAAAGATATACGCCCTGTGCCATTTCTTCAATTGAGAGCAACATCCAGAGTATTTCAATCAATATTTAAGTATGAATAACTTACTTTTATTTCCAACCAAGGCCACAAGTGGCTGTGTTTCCGATTCTTCATTCACTTTTTTTACCACATTATACCAGTCTTCTAAATTTTCGAAGCTCTGGCCATTGGTAATATCATAAACCAAGAGAATACCCTAAATAAAAAGATATATTTAAAATGTTACAGTTTATAAAAATATTTGAACCTGGTAAAATTAGCATCAGTCTAAATTATTATTGTTATCATAAAACAGAGCATTAACAAATAATGGCATTGCCTCTTTCGAGGAATTATCAAAGGAATTATACTCTAATAAAATGTGTTTATTACAGCAGGAATTATCAAAGGAATTATAAGCTTCTGTAATAAACACATTTTATTAGAGTATTTTTCCTGCATTTCATGTGTTCTAAATTCAGATGCTAACTGAACTACAAGGGCAGAAAAAAAAATGGCAATTCAGTAAAGAGCACAATAGTTATATTAGAAATATTCCAAGTTGCATATGTTTTATGAAAAACCCAAAAAGCAGTTCAGACCAATATTAAGAAAAATCACACTGGAGAAAGACTTTTATTTTAGCTAATATTATTTGTAGTTTCACTGCTCCCTTTTGGGAAAAAAAAAAAAAGGCAGTTCAATCGTACATTTCTGCACATTTGGGAAGAAAGGCCAGATCCCTTCCTGCACTGTTGTAGAAGACAAGCAAGAAGTACTGTCAAGGTTTAAACTTTCAAAGGAGAAACTAAAAATGTGGTCAAAAGTCAGAAAGAAGGGAGTCCTACATATTTCAGAGGTTTTGGGCTAGGCTAAAGCAATAAATACTCGAAACAGACATTACTGAGGATTCCTCAGAGCTAATATCCAATATTATGAAGCACAGCCTATTAGCAGCCCAAATGACCAACTTATCTCCTCCATAATTCTAAGATCAGCTCTCACAAATCATTCTCCTCTCACTTATTGAGTCTTCTGCCCCTGCTTTCCACTACACCCTAATAAAGGAAGCATCTTGCAAATGAGAAAGTCAGAATTGGCTTCTGTCACACTTGTTCTCATGGTGTTCACATCTGGGGAAAAAATCCCTACAACTGCACACTGTTCCTCACATGAAATTTTCACAAATATTCTAAAAAAATACAATGCATACAAAATTAGCTGGTCCTATGACTCACCGTCAATAGAAAAGATTTTTTCAAGTCAAGTTTTTTAGGCATTTGTCTGAACACAACTTTACTTGATAGTTTCATGAGGAGTGTCTAAGATCATAAAAAGATTTGCATGCTGTCGCGGTTTGGCCTCAGCCAGCAATAAAGAACGACGCAGCCGCTCGCTCCATTCCCACAGCCGTGGGAAAAAAAAAAAAAAAAGATATCGACAGGGCAAAACTCGTGGGTTAAAATAGTGCAATTTAACAGAACAGCAAAAGGGAAGATGAAAACAAAACAGTAACACCGATAAAGTCGCCCCGGCAGCGCCTCTTATAGCCCGGGCATGGCTCACGTGGGGTGGAATGCCCGCCCCCTGCCGGCTCCCGGGGAAATTAACCCCATCCCTGCCGCAACCAGGACACATGCTCATTAAATTAACGTCACAGATGACAACAAACTGGTAGGAACAGCAAGATTATCTGAGGAGAGTTTGGATTATATGATGAGATACAATCTAAAAATAATAGAATGCAACTCAATAAGTACCACGACAGGTTCAAAGGAAGCAATAATCTACTGCCCAATAGGAAACATCCGGCTTTGTAGCAAGTTCTACACAATAGGATCAAGGAGTTATACTATATCACAGTTGCATATATCAAGCTTATTTTGTAACAAAAAGGAAAATACCACACTGGCATGAAACACACTAGGTGAAATAACGCATCCAGCTTTGGACACCGAATGTCAAGAAAAGGGTAGACTAGAAGAGACCAGCAACACTATTGGAGGTTTAGAAAACATGACTGACATCAGAAAATTGAAAAAAACAGACTGTTTGAACAAACACAAGAGTGATGACAGGCATGATGACGCTGGTAAAAGTTTCAAGAGAAGATAACCGGAGTTCTCTTTTTAAATGCTCATACACAGTTTGCAGATGACACTGCAAACTATGTATAAGACATAGGACCAGCCAATACGCCTGAGGGCAGGGCTACCATTCAGAGGTATGTACACATGCTCAAGGAACAGCGAATGGGAACCATTCGACATTCAACAAATGCAAAGCCCTGCAGCCCGGGCGGAATAAACAACACAGGCTGGGGAACAACTGCAAAGGACTTGCAGGTCTTGGTAGACAAATATGAGCCCACAATGTTCCCTGGCAGCAAAGATGGCCAATGTGATCCTGGGCTGTATTAGCAGAAGCACAGCCACTAGATCAAGGGATCTATTCCCTTCTACTCAGCACTTGTTAAATCATATCTAAAGTACAACATCGAGTCTTAGGTCCCTCAAGACATCAATAAACGGAAGTTCAGCAAAGGGCCACCAAGATGATCAGTCTGTCCTATGAGGAAAACCTGAGGGAACCAGAATTCTTCAGCATGGAGAGGAGGTGGCCCTGGGAGGACCTAAAAGCAGCCTTCTAATACATGAGGAAGCTATGAAAATGGGACTAGGTTGCTCAAGGCTTTATGCAGTTCCTTCTTGTAAACCCCTAAGGACGGAGGCTGAGCAACCTCTTTGCGCAACCTATTCCACTGCTTGAATCTCCTCATGGCGAAAAAGCTTTTCCTTACATCTAGTCTGAATTTCCCTTGTTCCAACTTATGCCCATTGTGTTTCATCCTCCTGCCACACACTGCTCTAAAGAGCTTAAATTTTTGCCACAGCAGCACTCTACAAGCAGCTTAGTATGATATAGATAATTAATGATCAGTCATAAATCCATAACTAAGATTTATTTCACCTTTTTTTATTCAACATAGACATCCCATCATTGCTTTCACAAAAATACAACATATTTTCCACAAACTTACGGTATATGGAGTATAGAATGCAGCGAAAGTATAAAAGCTGTTATTTCCTAATCATGCATGAGGAATTAAGGTGGAAAATTAACACTGGCCTTTGTACACAAAAGTAGCTCATTTCCCTGATATGAAAAAGCTTTGAAACATATGGAGGACAACATGCTGAGAACAGCACGTTAATTCTCTAGTCTCCCGGAACACAGAAAATAAACCCTGCTTGCACAATTGTACTCTGGTATGAGAGACATTTTGCCTACATTAGTGCATATGTAAGTGCTTTTTGTTTTGGAATTACAGATTATTTTCAAAAATAGGTCACTGGAAACTGAGAATATTGCAGAAATTATTTGCTGGTCTCTGGAGAAGGTAGAGTCTGCAGTACTCTTATTCTATTAACAAGCCAATTTATGAGGCAGTATATGCCAGCTCTTAAAGATACTTTAGACTAGATATGTGGGTAGGGGCAGCAATTACACTTAAGAGATGGAAGAGGTTCTGAAATACTTACCATGCAAATAACAACAGAATTGCTATTATGAAAGTGTTGTAACCAGGCAATATATTCACACTAGACAATCAACACTTAGAAGTCAAGTTTACGTCAAGATTTATCGCAATAAAAGAAAGCTACAGAAAACACTAATTAAAACCATATGTTTTCTTCTTCAGGTTTATCCTCAGCTGCCCTCAACTTATGACTGACTTCAGTATGAAGGAACTAAATTAATTTTCAAATATTCATTAATATTCATGAAATGTCAGACCAATATTCTAATTTTTTTTTTTCTAGTCACAGAATATTCATTTTAGCAAAGAGTAACTTCATTATGATATCTTGCACATCTGCAGAAATGCTATTTTTACAGGTGAAAACAGTATACAGTCTACATATACTTAACCACTGTTGTCTTTGCTGATACTGAGGATATGGTCACTCAAATACATGCAACTGAGTTGCCATAACTGAATGAGCTACTGTCTATCAGCTCAGCTGTGGTAACTGACAACATGATTACTCTTAGCCTCTCCCAGTTCTGAGATAAAAGTGTCAGTTTCAATCAATACTGAGAGAAAGCTGTTTATTAGCACCTTTCATTTATAACGATCAAAGAGCTCTTTTTACCCCCAGTTCGCAGAGTTCTTCTGACCAACCAGTGAAATTCAGCTACCAAGATGGGATGTGGCAACTATATTGTTCTGGATGAGCAATACCAGAGGGAAAAAAAAAAAAAAGGGAGAAAAAAAGCAATTGCTTCAAGACCACAAGTGAATTGCAATTTCTCCAACTGCAACCACATAAGCAAATTAAGTATATTCTCATCCTCAAATCTGGAACTCTCATTTTAAAACATGGCACAAGAAATCAGGGACCTCAGTGAAAAAATGGCACCTTAACAGTAACTTAATCCAAAGATTTATCTCAAATAGAAGGAAACTTCCAGTGGCAAGGTTTTCAGAAAAGTATAGATGGATGCTCCACTTACTCCCCCTGGTATCCTGATCAAATTTCAACCAAGATCAAGTGAACTGCAGACTTGCTATTAAGATAACCTTTTCAGCTGCCGTAGCTTCTCAAAACTTCCATCTCCAGCTGGTCTTAGTATTTTGTAAGTAGGTCTACCATACATTTGGATTTCTGAGCAGAAAACCAAGAATTCAGACACGTGATTTCTGAATCTCATGATGACCAACCAGATGGAAGTCTATGCAAGGCTATGGGCATCTGCCAGTACTGGATAAAAGCATGACGCATGCTGTAGACATGCTGCAAGCTATTCCACACATGTACTTTAAATTTGAATGATTTAGATTTGGAGAATACATGCAGATGAACACAATTTCTGCAACAGGTCCAAATCATCTACTCTATGTGTATGTGTACAGCTTTTGTATTTTACAAACAGGATGTTTAAAATCCCAGTTGCACCACACATGCTGACCAAGTGCAACACACCATAGCTATACACACCTCTCTTGTAGCAACATTCATTAGCATTGCATCAATATTTTAAAAGCTTTCTTGTACTGGGGAACCCAAAACCAAACACAGGACTCCAAATGTAGCCTCAAAAATGTCAGAGAGGATTATAATCACTTTTCTTGATTTGCTTACTTCATTCTTACTAATGCAGCCCAGTATTCAGTTAGCTTTTACTGCTGCAAGGGTGCACTGCTGACTCCCAATTCAACTGGTTTTTGTTTTGTTTTTCGAGTAGGACATTCACCTTCTTTTCTACAAAGCCATTTCACAGAATGACAGAGGTTGAAAAGGACCTCTAGAGGTCGTTTGGTTCAATGCCCCTGTTCAAGCAGTGTCACCTAAAGCCAGCTGCCCAGTACCATGTCCAGATGGCTTTTGAATATCTCTGAGGATGGCTTTTGAATATCTCAGCACTTGTTCACCCTCTCAGTGAAAAAATGTTTCCTTGTGTTCAGAGGGAACCTCCTGTGTTTCAGTTTGTGCCCACTGCCTCTTGGCCTGTTACTGGGCACCACTGAAAAGAGCCTGGCTCAGTCTCTTCTTTGCACCCTCCCTTCAGGTATTCACATACATTGTGATAAGATCCCTCTGAGCCTTCTCTTCTCCAGGTTGAACAGTACCAGCTCTCAGCCTTTCCTCATAGGAGAGACGCTCCAGCATATTATTCAGCCTTGTGATCCTTCGCTGGACATTCTCCAGTTGATTCCCAGCCTGCATAAGGTTATTCTGTCTCAGATGCAGGACTCTGCATGTCTTCAGTGAACTTCAAAACGTTCCTGTTGGCTTATTGCTTCAGTTGGTCATGGTCTCTCTCAATAGCACCCCTACCCTCCAGCATATTGACCATTCCTCCCCGATTTGGTGTCATCTGCAAACTTAGAACCAATGTTTTGTTCCATTTTGTTCCAACATCTCTTTCTCTGGAGATATTCAAAACCCGTCTGGATGTGTTCCTGTCCACCGTGCTGTAGGTGAACCTGCTTTGGCAGAGGGTTTGGACTAGATGATCTATGAAGGTCCCCTTCAACCCCTACCATTCTGTAATTGTACAAAGAATTAATAAAAGACAGGAACCCAGTACCAACCCCTAAGTAATACAGCTTATAACCAGGCACCAGTAAAACATTAAGCTATGGACCATCTCCCTTCAAGTACAGCCATCCATTCAGTTTTTCAGTCACCCTATCATCCTCCCATCCATTCTGTATCTCTACATTTTGTCTGTAACAATATTATGGGAGATTACATCAAAAGCCTTGCTGAAGTCAAGGTAAACAACATTCATTGCTCTCCTCTCCACTGAGCCAATCATCTAACCACAGAAGGCAAACAAGTTGGCTGGGCACAATTTACTCTTGCTAATTCCTTCCTAGCTCTTCCCAATTACTTTCTTGCTGCTTTGCTGTCCATTCACAGGAATTTTTATACGTACGTAAAAGGATTTTTCTTTCTAAATACTCCTAATTGTTCTACTTCATCTTTCCTCTTTTTCTTCTACAAAGCTACAGATGTTCTGCATGAAATAAGCTCCTGCCTAGAAACAAGCTGAAAGTAGTGCCTTCCCAAATTATGCATAGTGTTTCATGAACAGATGAAAATAAAGATAGTTTTATGTGTGTTTAACAGGTGCTGTTACAAAGCTAATAGAAAAGTGTGTTACAAGACAGCTTTGATGATAAGAAGCCTATTACAGACATTGACAATATATACCAACAATGGGAGAGAGAACAGCCGTTAGTTCATTAAAAAAAAAATAGGGTTACAATGAGGGCTGGGGGAGGATTAAAGGAGAAGAGATTGGATGTAGGGGGGTTTTTTGTTAATGTGTTCAGAATGACTAAATACCAAACTTTTGTAACTTTAGGTTTACTGACACCAAATTTTTCACTACTTTAGGGCACTGGTATTAACTTTTTGACCTGCTATTGCTGATAAGAAACTCCTAAGTTTATCACCAAATTCAATACAGAAAAACTTAATAGCCTTTTATTTCCTTCATTGAGTTTACTCTGGGCATATGGCAACAATTTGTGATTAATCAAGTTTCCTCTGTCATGGAAGCCACTTTCTCCTGTTGCTTGGCAGACCTTTAACAGGGCAGCAAAATGGTTTTTATTAAAAAATAAAAACAGATGCAACAGCTAAGAACATTCAGACATTTTTTGAAACATTAAATTGACAAATTTGTCTTAATCCTATTAACTAACAAATCCTAATCTCCTTAATTAGCCATTTCTGTGCTGTACTTATTAGTACAAAGTTTCTGTCCAATAAAAGTTTTAGGATTTCATAATCTGATTGCTTAAAGTATTGCGGGAAAAATAGGTGCACTTGTTTTCTTTTCAGATAAACAGAACATTCTATAATAAACGTTATACCTATTGTTCTCATTACAAACTCCGAATTAAAGAACAGAGCACATTTTAGGATCACTCGTGTTCAGAAGTTTGGTGTACATCCTCTTAAATCATCTCATAACTCAAGATATTGTTATAATATTTAGCTCTTACTTAACCCAACCATTCACTTTAAGTTGCTTAGTTAACCTCAAAATTCATTTTCATTGGATAGGAATTCTGCAAAAATATTTAGCTACCTGGTTGCCTCCTTTTGTTTGCCCTCCTATAACCCCAGTTGCATGTATGAGTTTAATGGTGTAGGATTGCTCTTAATTTCCTCCTTCTACTTTTTCCCCGCAGGAGGCATCTGTTCTAAAAGCAGCCACTATATCTACCATGTGGATATCCAAATAGCCTTTACTATTTACTATGATTGCTTTTCTTAACTCAAGACACAAAGCATGAAAACATACATCTGTTCTTGAGAGCTATTCAGATCTACAAATGTGCACCCTTGCTTTGCTTTTTAAAGCAGCTCTAAAAAACTAACTACATACCAAAATTAGACTTGCATATTAATACCAATTAAGGTTAGGTTAAGCACAGATTCAACATATTTGAGATCTACAAAACAGCAACCTGTAAGACATGTATAATTTTAAGAACAAAAATTCAGTGAATTTTATGTAATTACTGTAGGTACAATTATCATCATTTATACTGTACCTGAGCTCCATAAATATATTTATCCAGCATTTTGCCTCCTATCGTTTGCCCCCCTACATCCCACACTTGAAGAGTAACATTCAGATTTCCTAAAAAAGAAAATGATACAGATATTGTGTAACCTGGAAAATTTAGATACAAATAAAATTAAAGACACATTATCATGGCAGACAATACAGCTCTAGCACATCAACAGCAATAGCTTTTTACAAGTATACAATAAACAGTAATTAAATTTCAACACAAACATGACCGTATCATTTGGAAAAAAAGCACCTCTGTTCAGCTAATTCAGTAAGATACAGTAAAACCATAGCTAAATATTAACATATTTGATATTAACAGAAAATAATTGGAATTTAATAAAGCATTACATTCCTGAATAGAAATTATATGACATATTTCACTGAAGAAACATGTAAAGTTTTACAGAGAAAGTTCTATTGTGCCGTAGTTGGAATTGAAAGGTAATACAATTAATGCCAACTTAACTACATTATTTCATACTCTGTGTCCCTTCCATCCCCTCCAAATTTTCTTTACAAATCTAAAGGTGCAGATTTTCCCCACTATAACTGTATTTTGGTATTGATGCTCTTAGTACTGTACAGTTAAAGAATTATATAGTTGACAGATTAAAACATGGAAATACTGACACACATCTAAGTTGAGGATGCAAACTATGATTATTTCCTCCACTCATCACCCCATAGCAGGGAACTAACGGAACATCATTTACATAATTTCATTCTTGAAGAATCTACACCAAAAATAGATCTTTCTTTCTACTCTACACAGTCTTTAAGCTATGTTGAAACTGTTAACAGGTTCTAAAAAACAAAGTAACAAAAAAATCAGTGTAAACACAGAATATTTACTATCCTACAAGTCACACATACTCTGCAAGTTAACAACTCAGAAACCCACAGACTAAACATACACACAGCAATGTATGTCACCACATGCATACAAACATTACTGAAGTATAATTTGCCTCATTTTACATCGTGAGAACTGTTTTCAAAACTGTACTGGTTACCTGGAAGCACCAAACTTTAATCAGTAAGGTCTGATGAAAATTTTTCTCACCTACATACAATCCACAGGACTTACATGTTAATAACAATTCTACATATCCACAAATAATCATAACTGCCCATTTATATTATTCCTACATTAAAAAAAAAAATCCTACAAATTCCACATCACAACAACTGAGTCAAGTGAAAAAGAACACATTATTTTGGGCTGCTAAGAAAGATATACTCTTAATTAAACTATTTTATGTTACTAACAACTTTACACAATGTGATCTATTCAGCCACCAATTTATAACTACACACTCACATTAGTTATGCAAGTGAGCGTGCTCCATGGAAATACATCCCAGCCCTCAGTGAACGTAAGCAGCAAAGTAGAACCATATAGCTGAATATATGCTACTTGTGGTATTAAATATACCACATTATATTTTTATGATGCATCTTGCTTTAATCTGGTTAAAAGCACAGATTTCCTAAACTGCTACTTATATAGAGATGAATGCAAGACAATCTATTCACAGTACTTTTAAACTACACTTTTCTTCTAAGACTAAGATAAAGCATTTCTGCATGGAGCTTAGTAAACACACCATAAACACTCCAGCTCAATAAAGGCAACCTTTCATAAAATAAAAAGCTTATTCGTCTTGACAGTGCATATACTATGTATTAGTTAATTATTCTTAAAGCTTAGAACATAAGTGACTAGAAACAATACATAAAAGTCTTCCATAAAGCATCTGGTGTGGATAAATGTGAACCCACAGTCTGAAATTACTATGCATTCTCAGTGGGTAAACAAACTAAACATGCTCAAAAGCTTACCATGCTGCAGTATTCCACCCCTAACTTGGTTGTATGTATTCTATTAGAAATCTACCGTGTCATCCATGCCAGATATTTGGAAAAAAAAGCTTTATAAATATTATCACTTTCAAACTCAACAATTTTCAGATGCCTAGTTTTGTGTTCAAATGCTGTAAAAAGTTTCTAACTTTATTTTTCCTCCTAAGAGTAATAATCATGCACAGCATACTGGGATTAGTACCTGGACAACTGTATGAAATATTCTGAGAAACTTTAATGCAGGAGGCTAAATTAAATGGTCTACTGAAAACTGAAAAACCTACTCTAATGAATTATTTACTTTCCTTCACTAACAACAGAAAAAAAGAAACTGAAGAAAAAAGGTTGGAATGTTCATTTAAGGTGAAGTGGTTCTTAATTAAGACGTCACTAACTCCTGAAATTCATGCCGATCATCTCCAGTGCAAAATGCTTAATTTTCCCTTTTTTTTTTCCAATTAGGTCTTGTAACATTTGCATTGCACTCAGATTGATTTTTGGGGAGAAAGAAGGATGTTAGGATTGTTCTGACAAAAGGAAAAACTCCGGACAATTTGCCTAGCAAATATTTAATTAACAACTATGAGTAGCACATGACGTTCTCTGCAAAGAGTTTGAAATACTCTATTTTTTCATAGATTTAAGAGGAACATACAAACTGGAGAATGACAACAAAACAAAAAGAAACTATGCATAAGGCAGTTCTTAGAAACAAGGTTAATGTAACAATAAAAATAACTGAAGAATCTCATAAAAATAATACATAATACACTGATAAGGAACAAGAAAACACTAGCACTTCTTTACACTGTAGAAAATGCACACAAGTGAGAAGTTAAAATAACTGAGGGAACACAGTGCAGGTATCTAGACTGTTTCTTGTATGAACTAAAGCCACTGGGCTGATTCAGTAGTGGTCCTGCAGAAGCATACCCAGTGCATTGGTTAACGTTACTTAAAGTACTGCACAGTCAAGATGGAACTAACAACACGAGTCTGCCCACTTTTTGCACTGATGACTTAAAAAAATCCTTTTAAAATTAATCAACGGATTAACTATTTGTATTAAACCATATTGTTTTGCCATGTAAAATATTTACTTTTTTTCTCTGCAAAACTGCATCAGTTACTAAAACAACAGGACACAAATACAGCTTTTATTTTTAAAAAGCAAAAAAAAAACCCCAAAAACAGTACTTTATTTTGCAAGCTAAAATGCATTTCCAATGTGGCCTAATATAAACTGGGCAATTCTAGAAATCAGTAACTTTAATTGCTGAAATCTTCGCTTACATTTAAAGGAGAGAAAAAAATACAAATACGGAACCACAGTTATTTGCCAATTCTCCTACTAAATACGAGAAATCAAGGCTTTTTTTCCTACTGATATACACATTATAATTTCTGTGCAGCAGTATGAATTAACCTCTCAAGTAAACATAGCAGGTCTGTAAACCCAGAACTAATCAAGAAATTAGAAAAATCCGCTTACTTAAGTAATGCTTCCCATTCCAGTATTTAGAAATTTTACCTCCCTCCCCCTTCTCTTCCTTCCCTCTCACTCCCCACCACCAGTGCAGATTACCTATAAAACACAGAAATCCATATATCTAAACATATACGTAAGCATAAGCAAAACCAGAATGACAATCTACAGAAAAGTGCTTCTTCCTGAATATGAATACATTCCCCAAATGTTATTATTTTGCTAATGCTAAATGAGGAAAATAGAGGTCTGGACTTTGTTGCTGTTTTGGTGCTATTTTCATCTACATTCTGATTTTATTACAAAATAAACTAGAAGAAAGTAAAACATGAATGAATCAATAGTTGATAATTTTCCAAGTTTTCTACTCAACAAGAATATTTAGAATCCCAGTAATGTACTAATAGCTTCTGTATGCTTAACAGCTGGGAAAAAAACTTGCAAAATACAAGTTCTCAGTATGCACACTGCATGATTTGTGTACACATTCTACTTGCAAGTACTGCTGTTAAGTATTATGCACAGTGGTATTTTTAGAGGCACAAGCAGGACAATAAAAAAATTATTCTGTTGATTTTATGGAGAAATAAGCACTGAAATTTGGTACTCTATCACTCACCAGATACCAAAAGTACAGCAAAATGGCCAAACCAAAATACTGAATGAAGGAACAGTCTGAAAAGATTATTCTGTTTCACTTAAGAAAATACATAAACATAATCAAGAAATTATTGGCAATATTATTTTAACAAAACAAGTTCAAGAACTTCATATATATTCTTATAACTTCGGGTTATAGCTAAAATGCTTCATTTCTGGGTTTGCTTCCCTCCCCACTCTCCACGAGGAAAAAGACAGAACTACAGAACTTGCATTAACTTTATCAAATCTCACTACAAACAAATCTCACATACTTTTTCTAACTTCTGATTCCTGAAATAAAAAGAAATTGCATTTAATGACAAACTTTCATACTTAGAAACTGAGCAACCCCAAATGAAAGAAAAGACTTATTTTAAACCCCCAATTGTTCGGAGTCAAACTTCTACCAGCAACTATTCTTTTTTAATTATTTCTTTGCATTTTCCATGCAGTATGCTGCAACTGGCATCTAAATAGTTTCTTTGCCGTCATGAAGTGAAACATCTTGAATGCTCAAACTGTATTTTTATGAGTGCCGAGGGACCCTAAATTTTAGTGGTCTATTAAATGCCAGCAATTTCATGCTGCCTTGCATAAAACAGCATTCACGTATTAGAGCACTGCGATTCCATAGCTGCATTATGCTTCTCTCACACAACTCAAATACAAGTTGTGTATTTCATTAAAAAAAAAAAACTATTTCTTTCAAAACACACATACTTTTTCAATGAATATATTTAAAGTTCCATTTCATTGTTGTATGTTACACTATCCACACTCAAGCAAAGATAATAGAAGTCACGAATACAGATAGCATTCCTTTTATTTGAATTCAGTGTTTTATTTAAAGACAGAAGTTGCAAATGCATAACCCTTGTCACCTGGCAAGAACGTACTAACAAGATTTTCTCTGAATAACCTAATTTACTTTGCCATAAAAAGCACTGTACTAAGCTTATTTAGTATACATTATTTTGAAGAATCTGTTTCTGCAAGTCTTACTGCTGCCCAACCTTTTAGTGTTAGTTTTTATTCTCTTACCTGGCAATATTATCCTTTTCAAGAAGAAGTCCAGTCCTATAGTTTGTTTGTACTGTTTTCCAAATGTTTCTTGGGCAAAACGTGTGGCTAAGGATGTCTAAAACAGAACAATATCAAATTAAGTTGTCATTTTAAAGACAAAAAACCTTGATGTTAAATCAGAAGTGTGAAATACCATTAAGAACTTTTTAAATCAATGCATGGTGACAGCATTCATGCATTTGGACTGACAAGCATTCCAGCCAGCTTCAACATAATAAGAGTAGGTAGCAAAGGCTACTAAATTATGCAAAAAGCAGCAAAGTGTGTGTTTCCGTTGTATTTCTTAGATACTGCGATACTCATATTACAAAATATTACACAGATTTGAATGAGGTATCATTAGTATGCTCAAATTGACAAAAATCTAAGTGACACTATCCATACCTGAACAGTTTATTATTTTCAAAAAGCACTCATTTCCAAAACAAGGGTCCTTCCCTAGTACAGAACAGCATGATCCAAGACCAACTTTCTGGGAGGGAACAAAGATCTGCACAGTGTACAGTCCCATAGGGGCTCCAAAGTGTGGCAGGATTCCTGCCACTGTACATCAAAGTTTCAGGATCAGGGATTATATAAAGTCTAAGATAGGAAGAGTAATTTCTTGTACACAGAAAAAAACTAAACTCATGTTAAGAATGTACATTTGCAGAATCATTCCTTTAAGCAGAACTTTGGAAACTTATTTCTTCAATTTATATTTTGTGGATTTATGAAAGTAGACCAATACACTACTAACTGAATAAAGAATCGGCTTTTGCTACATACTGCTAAAAGGATACACAACTAACCTACATAAAGTAACGAAGCAAGGCATTTATATTCTTTCACTAGCAATTTAAGTTCTCCATGCAAGGGGGAAAAAAAAGGAAAGAAAAAGGAAAAAAGCCCCACAGTCTAAGATTTTTAAAAAAGAAAGAGGAAAAGATAAGAGCAATTATAAAGAATAAAAAGTTTGTATTGTGGAAAAAAATAAATACTATATTAAAAATTAATGTCACATAGATAAAATACATCCTACATCAAATCAGTAGCGCACACTTACAAATCTCTTGTTGACATGACATCTGAAAATGTGAAACAAAGTAATTGCAGAAAAAAAAATCTAAATATGCATTTACCTATACAGGGGGGAAAACACCTAATACCTTCACAAAACCCTTCCACTGAGAAAACTCAAAATGGGCAAGAATGAAATTTTTTGCCAACTTTCCACTCATCAAGACCCAAAGAGATGAGTTACATCAATTGCTATTGGAAATTGCTGCTAGAGCACATTTAGTTAAAAATGCAATAGCAAAATAATGCAAATAGCTCTGAAAAATGACAATAGGCAAGCTCGAATAATAGAACAGTTATAATAAAGATCTAAATTATGCTAATAATGTCAAACGTACACAGAAAGAAAAGGTAATTTGCTCTTTTTTTGTATGACGACATGATCACCAGAGCTCCAGCATTAATGTTCTAATATGAATAGGCAAACTTTTATTCAACTATTAAACTACCTGTTAAGTAAATAACACAAGATTTACTGTTTTCTTGTTTCTATATGACATTTATATTCCTATCATTGTCATATATATATAAAATAAATGATATTTTGACATCAGAAGATACGTTTAGGAAGTATTAAAAAAAAAAAAAATCAACTAAAGGCTACGGCAACACTTTCACATACTTCATTGAACTCAAGCCCCAAGAGGATTAAAAATAAATATATAAATGGGAAAAAAAAAGCAAGTAAACTAGAAATAGCATGTATATCTTTATATATTTATATCACTGTGGAAAGGGTGAAGACCACAGAGGATAAATTGTGAGAAGATTCTTCTGCCTACAGCTATGTGACAGTAATACTAACAACATGCACAAAATAAAATTCAATACAGATTTAGACTGTAGTACTAAAAAAAGAAACAAAAAAAAAAAACAGTAGAACTGATTCTTTTCATCACAATAGTTAGATGTCAAGATTACAAAGACATTATTTTTAATCTGTCATGACTTTAGATAAGTAGCTAAGAATAAGAACATTGCAGGAATAAACCACACAGTCTTCTCTCTGAGATTTTCCTTTTCGGAAAAGTAACTAGTACCCAGAGTACAGATTAAAATATCATCTGACTATATCATAGTATTCTACATTCTCTAACACACTAATTTAGATCCCCATTAAATACGCAACCACTCCCTTCTTGTTTTAAGGGCTCAGTAAATATTAGCTTTATCACTCTGTGACACTCAATATTCCCTGAGGGCTTCTAAGGGTGTTAGTAAAAATAAACAACATACAGTCAATTAACAGCCAACCAATAAGAGCAGTAAGTAATCAACAGCATGGCAAAGTTCTCTTAAACAGTTTTTTTCTGCCATGCTCTTGAATGCAAAGGAATTTATAGCAGAAAATCATTGACTAACTCCTTTTTAATTTTTTTTCCCAATAAATGTTAAAGCTCAAGGAAGGTGTTGGATTACCAGACTAGAATCCTCTATTTATTCACAGAACAAGCATTTATCCACAAAATACTATAAGTAACAGTTCAAACTTCTCCACAACAGTAAACAGAGAAGTTATGTCAATGCATATTCAAGTACCTCTACAATGCAAATACTCCCTTCTATCCCAAAATTGTGCTCTGCCATGCCTGGCGTAAAAGATTCTGCATGACAGTTTTGCCTGTAAGGATATGTTGAGTACAATCTATGTAAAACGTAACCAAAGTTAACTAACAGTTCAGTAGAACTGTAGTTGTAAAAATAAATAAGTGATTAGTAACCATTTAAAAAAAAGAAAAAGAGGTTATGCTCCATTCATAAAAATTCAGCCATTAATCTTGAGATCAGATGATAGTATGATATCAAGAAAGCGTTGTTCCTTCACATCTGTACTAAGACAGCCAAGTCACCAACTTTCATAGCTGACTTTCCATTAGACCCAGTTTGGCAGCTTCACACATTTGTCTTAAATACTTCAAAGCAGATTTGTATATGCTGTTCTGAATAGCAATACACTATCGAAGGATGGTGTTACAAACTCCCTCCTTTCAGACAAAAAAAAAAAAAAAAGTCTTTGGGTTCTAACATGCAGCAATCAAGACAACAGTAAAAAAATAATAAAAGCAAAATTACAGTATTCTAAGTGCCAAATACAATGTTATATTTGGGAAGGGTTTTTTTGGAAGCAAATGAAGATGCAATTAAACTTCACAATGAGGCAAGACAATTTCTTGCTTCTATTCTTCAATGTCAACCACTCACAGTATAAACTGACAAGCTGTTCCTAAGTACCTATGTAGTAAGTAAATATATAAAAAAAGCAAGCAATATTTACAAAATAATAGCAGACAAGTCAAACAGAACAAGCAATGATAGCCAGCTCTAACTGACACTGACTACTCACCAGGACAATATGGAAACTTACAAAGAAAACCCTGCTACTGGCAACGCTTTGAGTAAAATTGTATAGAAGAAAGCTTTCAGAAAGCGATGCCAAAATGTATCACAGAATTTTCAGAGTTGGAAGGGACCTCTAGAGATCATCTAGTCCACTCCCCTGCTAAAGCAGGATTGCCTAGAGCACATTACTCAGGACTGCATCCAGGCGGGTTTTGAAAATCTCCAGAGGAGACTCCACAACCTCCCTGGGCAGCCTGTGCCAGTGCTCTGTCACCCGAACTGCAAAGGAGTTTTTCCATGTGTTGGAACGGAACTTCCTATGTTCCAACTTGCACCCATTGCCCCTCATCCTGTCACTGGGAACCACCAAGAAGAGTGTGGCTCCATCCTCCCTCAACCCACCCTTTAGATATTTGTAAGTAGTAATAAGGTCTCCCCTCAGCCTTCTCTTCTCCAGGCTAAAGAGTCCCAGCTCTCTCAGCCTTTCCTCATAAGGGAGATGCTCCAATCCCTCAATCATCTTGGTTGCCCTTCGCTGGACTCTCTCCAGCAGTTCCCTGTCCCTCTTGAACCAGGGAGCCCAAAACTGGACACAGCATTCCAGTTGTGGCCTCACCAGTGCCGAGTAGAGGGGGAGAATGACCTCCCTCGACCTACTGGACACACTCTTCCCTGTGCAGCCCAGGATTCCATTGGCCTTTTTGGCAGCAAGGGCACACTGCTGGCTCATTGACAATTTACTGTCTACCAGGACCCCCAAATCCTTCTCCTCAGAGCTACTTCCCAGCAGGTCCACCCCTAACCTATACTGGTGTCTGGCATTCTTCCTCCCCAGGTGCAGGACCCTGCACTTGCTTATGTTGAACCTCATTAAGGTTCTATGATTATGTAGTATCATAGTTGTAAGAAAGAAAAGCTAGAACAAAAATTCAATGGGATGCAAGCATATAGTTCTGAAGCCATGTGCTTCCATTTACATACAACTTTACCAGCCAGTTGAGAAGCCACTTTCCAAAAAGCAACACATACCTATGCCTTCCTTCACTCCCATCTAGAACGCTAATGCTGTTCTCCAAGCACAGCAACATTCACCCCTTGGTCATGTCCTATCCCTACTGGCAAGGATTTTAAGACATAAAAAAAATGAAAAGAAACATTAGGCTAAATAACAAAATGCTTTAACTAGCATAAAACCATGTAACTGTCCAACACAGAGAATTTGTCACTGAGAACAGTCGAGCCTGGGAGGGGGGGGGAAGTATTTTGTAAACAAAGGAAGTAGTTCTGTCATCTGAAGGTGATGTCTTTCCACCCCACTCCTAACTACTGATGAGACTGTTCACTGAAAAAGAGAAAATTATCAAGACTTTTTGACATTAGATATGCATCTACGAAGCTAGGCCAATCTGCACAGGATACTTGATGCAATTTTCCATTTGCAAGACTGAACAGTGACAACGTTTTTGTCATCACTGATGGGGTTTTTGAGCCCATGTGAAACAACAAGATCCAGAATTGGCACAATGCTTAAAAATCTGGCATCCTAAAAAATCCTAAAGGAAGCAGGACACAACTGTTATCCCAGCCTACGTTTCAGCTCCCGCAAATTCGCACACTAGGTCGAGCATTCGCTCTTTCATTCTCATCATTTGTTGT